CACGGCCTCACAGAAAACCGACGTGAAGCAACGCTTGCGTTGTGTTTCGTCGTGTGAGTGAGGTTACCGGAGGCCCAATTACCCTCCCCTTCCCCAATCTCCCCAATTCCTAAATCCCCAAAAAACCCGTAACGCACTTGTAACACCTCTGGTGTTCCAGGTGTCCATGGGCGACGCCGATTGCTTACCAGCAGGTGATCCGTCTGCTCGTTTACCGGCTTTGCCATAAAGAAAAATATACATATATTTTTAACTAACTTCAAAAAAGGAGGAGGTTATACGTTCGGCCGGTATGTTGCTTTTAAAAATAATATTATGTTCGGAGAGACATATTATGTCTGTGTTAAGACATATTATGTCTCTGTCATGACATATTATGACAATTGGGGTATGCAGAGGTAAGCAGAGATTGTGTTTAGAAATACTGACTTCACAATACAATTGAGTAGGTACTGACTCATTATCATTTTTGAAAGTGTTATGTAAAAAAGGTACATTTATTAGGTATATCTTCAAATAGAATACTAAATATATAGTAATTTCATAGTTTTTTATTTTATTTATTACATACATACAGTATACATAACTTCACAAATGTCTCCCATGGGCCAAGCAGAGACTAAGGAACGCCAATTACTACGATTCTTACATACCTCTTTCGCTTCATTAACAGTCATCAATCAATTTTATTTATTATTTATCTTTATAACACAAAGGTAAGTATTTCCTAATCTAAGCCCCACAGAACCGTTGGAATGGTTTGACTGTGGGCGGACTGAGTTATGCTCCTACAAAATTAGATTTATTTCTTGACATAGATGAATATTTTATATCTACAAAATAGTAAAATAAATAGTTTGCCTTACTAGTTTAATTTTGGGACATGATGTGTTAAAATACACTAGTAACATTAGCGTATCACCAGTGTTTCTCTAGTGCAGCGGGTACATGAGCGGAGGTGATCGTTTACCATATGGTGATGACTGCTTTTTACATCCTATTACACAAACAAAATGTTTTTCTATACATGATAGAATAGATCAGGTATTTCATGGTGGTGGTGGTGGTGGTTTCACAATGGTATCACTCATTCTCTTCTATTTACTTAATATTGTGTAATATTAAAACAACAAAGTTTAAACACATACAATTTATTATAACCGTTTCCGTTTCTTATTTTTCGATCGTTTCTTAGTATTTTTCTTGCCAGTTTTGTTGAGTTTCGCGATTTTTCTCTTGTGAAGCCACACTGGGTACTGCCCGTTCTGATCTTTGAGTGTTTTCGTGCTGAAAACTCTCTTCTTGCCCTCGCCATCGACAACCACTTTTTCGTCATCCGAACTCATTTCTACATCCTCATCAGCCTCTTCAGCAATTTCCTTTTCTTTTTTTTTCTTATTCTTCTTGTCTGCGTTCTTCTTCAAGGCTCCAGCGTCAAGAAAAATTACTTGATCCGATTCCATAACCTCATCAGTGGTGGTTTCAGGTTTCTCTTCATCTTTAACGCCTAACATCTTCTTTAGTCGCGCTAATTCTTTCACAGCATAACGTTCGCGCTTTATAGCTCTGCATTTTCGCTTCCAACGGCTTCTTAGTGATTTCGCCATGGTATTTAATAAACAAAAATATTTTTACGCGATGTGCTTTTTGACGGCAAGCACATGAAAGGATGAATGTCACTAATGTCAAAATAGTGTAGTGTTGTTAGTTTATTCTTAACTATTCAATGTTAGTATGAGTAATTTTTCAACTTTCAATGTGTTTAATTTTTATGTTTTTGTTTAATTACATTGCCTTCACTATTAAAAGTATTATGAAAATTAGTTGAGCATTGCTAGAAAGTTAACATTTAAAGCAAAAATCATTTTTAAACGATATCAAAATTATAATATTTCTTCTTTGGTTTCCATTTTCATTAGGTTGGCAACATCAAGATAGGGTTATATAAAACCGTAATTTTGTTTCAATTTCCAAGTTTTATCGGTTTTTTGCACTGTTTTCACAATGATGTTAGAAAATACTACAACTTAATATCATGAGGGCAATTTCATAAAATAATTCCATTTACAACGGTAACAAGAGTTGTTTGTTTCAGAATAACATATTTATTTTGTATTTGTTATCGATATTATCATGCATGTTCAACAAATCGACTAAAAGCCTAAATCAATAAACCAAACAGCGTTGTACGACAACAGCTCTATTTGTTTTCTTCCTGCCCGAGTTTTACGATTGTGATTATTTTGTGATTACTCCAAATAATATTTTTTGGAATTGATCCAAAATATTAAAATCGTATCTGTTTGTGTGTACACAGTGGTTGAAGTCGTCGTTTATTTGTGACTCTTTCGTTTTCCTTTGTCTCATGGAGTTTGCGTTACATCCATTTTAATTTTTATCGATGTGAAGTGGTTTGTGTATGTCTTTTCTTCTGTGATTATTTTTACGAACAAGTTTTAACTATGGAAATGGAAGTCCCGAGTCCTGAAAACGGGCCGAAACAGGATCTAAATGACAGCGGATGCGTCCAGGATAGTAAGTCGTCGATAATTCATATTATTTATTTAACAAACTTGCTTACTAATAACAACAATTTTTTTATCGTTGTTTGGGATACAGACGCGTTGATATGCCGATTTTAATGTCGGGGCCTATAATGACTTTCTTCCTGTAAAGTCCCTTAAAAGGGCGTCAAATTATTATTTTGTGATCGATCTTTGAACTCAACTTTTCTGAATGTCTTATTTCATCTCCGTTATTCATAGGTACATATTAGATTGTTTATATTCAAAATGTACATTTTAAAAATTCGTATTGATATGTAAGAGCCATTCCAGAACAAAGAAAAATTCCTTATGTATATTTATAAAAATAGAATCCAAGCACTAACATTCTATAAAGAATTAGCCGCGTCTCGATGTAGCCGCTCGTTCATCTCTAAAAAGTAATGAAATCTAGACAAAGTCCCGCCAGGTCTAAGGTCCTGACTTTCATATAACTTTGAAACTAAAGGACCTAAGAACTTGAAATTTTGGATTTGAAATATGTGATTAAAAGCATACATATCCAGAGGTTCCCATATAAATGAAATGCATTGAATTGGTTCCAGTAAAAGATGGTACGGTAGTGTTTGCTTTGCGCTCGACTTGGCAGTACCTCCAAGTATTAGTCGAAAGTCAAAGTCAAAGATCTTTATTGTGAGACAGTGGTTACGAAGGTTGTTCTAAAGGTTGTTGTGTTCATGCATCACTGCTCCACCATGTTAGGCATACAATAGTTTGTGACAAAGCATATAAATTGCAGTAGCTATACATTATAATATTAAACTGTCAAACACCAAGCGGTCACCGGTGACCGCAACCTATTGTTCTATAATTGTGTCTATAATGACGGTACTCGACGAGTTAAACTGTCAAACACCACGAGGACACCGGTGACCACAACCTATTGTTCTATAATTGTGTCTATAATGACGGTACTCGACGAGTTAATTTCATTTTGCATCAAAACATAATATGGCGTTTCAATTGTTAACGAATCTGTCAGACAAAAATTCGTGCAACGTATAATATGGTCTATTTACCAGGAAGTCAAACATTTTTTTCTTAAAATAGTCTACCCTGTCAATTTCTCTCATTTGTCTAGGAAGCTTATTATAAATTCTTGAAGACATTAGTCCGTTGCATAGTTTTGAATACAGTAGCGTACAAAGTGACAGACAGCGGAAAGTCACTTTGTTTTATTTTATACTATGTAGTGATGTGTACTGCTTTCTATTAGTTAATAGAAAAAGATACCCTATTACCCTCCGGCTTGCTATGTCTAGTCTAGACAAATAATTCAATAGGAATTATAGTTCGGTAATGGGGATGATGACAGGGTATGACAATTAAAAATATAATTAGTCCGTAAGTTAGGTAATTAAAAAATATTAGACACGTATTTTTTTATTTTGTCGTATAATAAAACAACACTTAGAAAACGAATCAAAGTTTAGGAGTGGGGGTTAAAACGTCATTCCTTAGTATAAAATGTACTGAGAAGTGACGTCACGCGACATTTCAAATCAATATATCTTCGAAACTATTCGTTTCCGTAAGAAAATAAAAAAATACGTGTCTAATGTTTTTAAATAATCTACCAGACGGACATTAAAATAAAAATTAGTCGTCTACCCCATTGCTGCTTTTTTTATGGCATAAGCCGGTAATCGAGCAGATGGATCACCTGATGGGAAGCAATGGCGTCGCCCATGGACACCTGGAACACCAGAGGCGTTACAAATGCGTTACCGGCCTTTTGGGGATTTGGAGTTTGAGGATCGTTGGGATTCAGGGATTGGGGGGGTTGGGGAAGGGGAGGGTAATTGGGCGTCCGGTAACACAACGCAAGCATTGCTTCACGTTTCATGCACAGCTCGGCTCCTGTTAGTTAAAATGTGATGTTTTATACCCTATAAGCCTTTGTTAATTAATGGACTATTTAAGACCAAACAAATTTTTCGAATCAGATCCATAGTTCTTGAGATTAATGCGTTCAAACAAACAAACTGGTTTTAGAATAACTATCGTGATCGTGAGACATACTAGATTAACTAAAAAATAAAAATCGCAGTGAAAATATTGAGAAAATCTACTTCGAACCACAGAGGGGTTCTTCCTCATGAGCAGCGTGCGCGGTCGCGGCGACGTCGCGCAGCCTACTCAGTATTTTCACGAGAGTAACCCACGATTTTTAGCGAATAAACAAACAATGCAATAACAATACAAATGACACAATGACTGCACGGTTGGCGCTGGCGGTGGCTGGACCACTGGCTGCCGCGCAACGTGTCGCGGGTTCGATTCCCGCACGGAACAACTCTTTGTGTGATCCACAGATTGTTGTTCCGGGTCTGGGTGTCATGTGTATGTGATATTGTATGTTTGTAAATGCACTCACGACACAGGATAAAATACTAGTGTTGGGCAAAGTTTAAAAAAAAACACTGCCGGGCAGGGTCTCGGGTTCGATTCCTGGGACGGGCAAAGTATTATTGGGTTTAAAAAAAATCTCAGATGTAGCACAGTCTGGAATTGTGCCCGTGCTGCCGATACGAACTAAGTGGAAGCATAACTTAACTAATACGGTCAACAACAAATCGTCACTCGACATAATAAAATATTTTTCGGGAATTCCCCCAATAACAGTAAAAGTAGCTTCACTTTTGATCACTTCACTAAGTGATCATGCGAATGGAATGTTGCACGACTAACAATTAATAAATTATACCAACTATTGAGTAGAATATGTTTTGACAATAATATCATCGAAATTACAAACTTTATATGTCCAAAACTATTTTGTAATTATAATGTGTGTCGCGGGGCGCATGAGGCACACCTCATGATAGTTATTTGAACTAAACTTTTGTTTTTTTTTTATGGCATAAGCCGGTAAACGAGCAGACGGATCACCTGTTGGTAAGCAATCGGCGTCGCCCATGGACACCTGGAACACCAGAGGCGTTACCATTGCGTTACGGGCTTTTTGGGGATTAGGAATTTGAGGATCGTTGGAAATTCAGGGATTGGGGAGATTGGGAAAGGGGAGGGTAATTGGGTCTCCGGTAACCTCACTCACACGAAGATAAACAACGCAAGCGTTGCTTCACTTCGGTTTTCTGTGAGGCGGTGGTATCACTCCGGTCGAGCCGGCCCATTCGTGCCGAAGCATGGCTCTCCCAAACTGACCACATCATTTGTCAATCAATCGATACTTAATTTGTTATTTCTTGTCTCGTAATGATATATTAATTAAACAAGTGATATTTAACATAATTTGACGGTACGGTTGGTGCGATGGCTGGGCAACCGGCTGTCACGCAATTTGTGTCGCGGGCTCGATTCCCGCACGGAGCGACTCTTCGTGTGATCCACAAATTGTTGTTCCGGGTCTGGGGTCATGTGTATTTGAACTTGTATGTTTGTAAACGTATCCACGACACAGGAGAGGCAAAGTTAAAAAAACTTTCGCTTTCTCTTTCACACAATGTAGCAAAACTAGGTTTAATTTTGTTTTGGCGCTGCTACCACTGGTCCACCATATTTCGCTGGTCACGCCAGTAGTGCGGCGCATCTTACATCTGCAATGAGCAGAAAAAACAAGGCAAACTAGGCCTAAATAGCTAAGGCGCCAGGTTAAAGAGGGGCGCCGCGAGACACGCGTGCCTTAAAGAGCCTTCAGACCACCACGTATGGGGCCCAATAATATAAGGCTGATGCCGATACGGAGCCGCAGAGGACTTAACGGGTTGCCGGGGCTCCGGCTCTAAGGGCAGAGTAGGAACGGGGTGGTTTTTAGTCAGTCAGAATCTGACACTCCCTCCACCCTCACCTAGGCGGGAGAAGTCATTCGATGATTTTCCCCCCTAAAAAAATACCTATTTGTAATTATATATTTAAGCTCATTGTACGTGAACCATATCACTACATAGTATAAAACAAAGTCGTTTCCGCCGTCTGTCTGTCCCTATGTATGCTTAGATCTTTGAAACTACGCAACGGATTTTGATGCGGTTATTTTTAATAGATAGAGTGATTCTTAAGGAAGGTTTATATCTGTACTTCTATACTAAACTTATAAAGAGGAAAGATTTGTACCTAGACAAAGACAAAGACAAAGACAAAGACAAAGATTATTTATTTGCAAAAACACGTGTTAAATAATAATACATCATAAATGCACATTATAAGTTGTACAGGTGAGCAGTGAGCATAGTATCAACATGTTTGACCATTTCTGGTGTACAAATGTGGAATATAATATTAAATCCAATTACAACAGTTATTAAACTTTTAAATTGTAACATTCCTATAAGAGACTCAAACCTCCTGACCAGGGACAACAAAGAAAAATTACAAACATTTGTCATTTACAAAGTCATGAACACTATAATAGCATTTATTAACTAGTAGTTTTTTCAACGCTTGTTTGAATAAGTTTAAATTTAATTTAATAATTTCTTTAGGAATTTTGTTATAAATTATGGGAGCCATACATATCACGCTTTTATGCATTAGTGCTGTTTTAGATGGGTGAATACATAGTCGATTGTTGTCACGTCGATTTCGTTTTACTTTATCAGCCAGAGTGGGAAATAAGTGAGAGTTGCTTCTAACAAACAGTGCTACTTCTAAGATATAGAGTGATGGTACTGTCAGCATTTTATGCGTTATAAATAATGGCCTACAACTCTCCGAACTCTGTTTACGGAACATGGCTCTTACGCACCGCTTTTGCAATTTAAATATGATGCCCTTGTTTGTCGAGTTACCCCAAAAAATTATACCATATCTCAGAGCAGACTCGACAAGACCGTGATATGCTGAAAGCAATGCCTCGATGTTAATTATTGGACCTAGGCTATACAGGACATACGATAAACTACTAATTTTTTTACTTAATGCGGTTATGTGCTCTTTCCAATTTAATTTGCTATCAATCGTTAAACCAAGAAATTTCGCATCAGTTACTTCTTGCACATTATAATTGTCGTGAGTTAAAATTACATTCAGTGGATTACATAATCTTTGTCCAAAATGCATTATACTAGTTTTCGTCAAATTTATTTTTAAATTATTATTATCAAGCCATGAAATTACAGATGTCAATGAATTGTTAATATCTAAATTATATTGGTAGATGTCATTACACGGAATTATAATTGTGCTGTCGTCAGCAAACAATGTCATAGGTTGAGTTATTGTTTTTGGCAAGTCATTTATGTAAATAATGAATAAGAGTGGCCCCAGAACGCTGCCTTGAGGAACACCGTAAGATATATCACGTGTTGTAGAGGTGTATGTTACCTCAGTTTTTGTACTTATATTAATTCTATTTATTTCAGTTACTTGTTTTCGGTTTGTCAAGTAAGATTGTACCAATTTCAAAACATTTCCCCTTATGCCATTGGCTTCAAGTTTATCCACTAGTATACCATGGTGCACATAATCAAACGCCTGTGACATGTCACAATATATTGAGCATACTGGAGACGATTTATCTACATGAGTTAATACATTGGCTATGAATTCATAAATGGCCATATTTATAGTTTTGTTTTTTCTAAAACCTTTTTGTTCATTGCAAAGAATATTATTTTTCTCTAAATATGTGTTCATTTCACTGTACAGATATTTTTCAAATATTTTAGCAAATATTGGTATAAGTGCAATCGGTCTATAGTTTTCTAGTATTTGTCTATTCCCTTTTTTGAACAGAGGTTTAATGATTGTTGTTTTAAGCTGTGTTGGAAATATTCCCTTCGCAATGCATAGGTTTAGTATATGACTCAGATGTTGGGAGATGGTTTCATTTACAGATTTTATTATTTTCGTGGAAATACTGTCATGTCCCACACTGTTTGTATTTTTTAAACTTTTAATGATTTTATTAACCTGTTGCGCCGAAACAGGTGCAAGAAACATTGAGTTAAGAGGACGGTTAATCAAATTTGTCACATTTTTTCCAGCTCCATGAATAGGTTTCACTTTTTCAATAAAATAATCATTAAATAAATTTGCTAAATCTTTTGGATTTGTAACATACTTAGTGTCATTGATTTTTATATTTTTTATAGTTTCTTTTGGCACATTAAGTCGCATTTTGTTTATTATTCGCCATGCCGTTTTACATTTATTATGTGACGTTTTAATATTATAGTTATTTTGTGCTCTTTTTGTTAATGTTACAATTTTTTTAAACAGTTTACAATAACTTTTATATTTATCCTTATTTTGTTCAGTAGGATTAAGCCTGGAATTCCACAGCAGAGCTTTTTTTCTTCTACTACATATCTTCACTCCACGCGATATCCATTTAGGTTTACTGTAGACTTTCATTAAAAATTTCCGTTTAGGAAAGCAAAGGTCATAAATAAGTTTAAAATCACCTATTTTTGTATGTTTGTAATGAATAGGCTCAAAAAGTACTGGGCCGATTTAAAAAATTCTTTCACCAATAGAATGCTATATTCTTCCAATTTGACATAGGCTACATTTCATTTTGAAAATAATTAGGGATCCTTGGTAAAATTTGAACAATGTAACCGAAGGTGTAGAAAAATGAGTCTTAAAATGTCTTTCGTCGAATGCGCTGCCGAAACTATTAGCGATAGAACAAAATAATGTATACACGGCCACACATCAATCTATACAAAACCAATTTATCCTGGTGTCGCGTCGCATCATCTTTCCGCACATTTAACGATCAGTTTATACTGGTTATGTAAGGCTCGATGTGTAGCCTTGTGTACAACAATATTATGAAGATGAAGAACATCATAATGTCTACAAAAAACTCCGCCGTAGCATAGAGATATGTCCAACTATTGTAGTTATGTCACTACAACAATCCAAATTTCCAAAAATTAATATGTAATTGTCTACCTCGTGCGAAGCCGGGACGGGCTGCTAGTGTATAATATTTATTCGCTGGTTCTCTATAAATGTGTAATGAATAATTAAAAAAAAAAATAATTAAAATTAAATTTTATTTTACAGCATCACTACCTGATAATGGCTACGTTAGCAACGTGAAGTTCCTCGACCTGTCCGATGACGCTCTCCTCTACATCTTCAAGTACTGCGATCCGATGACCTTGAAAGCTCTCGGATAGTAAGTAGCTCTATTTACTTAACACATTTTTGTCTGGTCGTCACCTGTACAGAGCTATGTATTAAAATCCAAGAATCTCAATTACACATACTTCTAATGGGGTACATCCTCAGCTGTTTTTGATGGGATAAGCCCAGTAAACGAGCAGACAGATCGCCTGATGGTAAGCAATCGGCGTCGCTCATGGACACCTGGTACTCCAGAGGCGTTACAAGTGCGCTACCGGCCTTGTGGGGATTAGGGGATTGTGGAGATTAAAGTATATTTTGAAGTCTCTCTGATACATTTTCCCGTATTGGATACCTACCGTTAGTCAAAAACCCTTTTCCAACCCTTAGCGGATGAGCCACGGAGGGCTTAACGGGTCGCTGGGGCTTCGGTTGGAAGTGCAGGACTAGGAACGGGGTGGGTTTTAGTCAGTAAGTGTCTGACACTCCCTCTCGCCTCACCCGGGCGGGAGAAGTCAATGGATAATTTTGCCCCCTCAATAAAACCCCTTAGCGCATGATAACGTTAGATTATGATAAACTTTTCAGCATTTGTCCACGGCTCGGAGCGTTAGTCTGTGATCGGACGCTGTGGCAGCGCGTGGACGCTAGAACTACACCGATGGGCAAGAAGCGAGTTCGTTGGATGCTGAACACTTGCCTCACGGATAGCACCACCGAGCTCAAGATACGTGGATACGCTAACAAGTTTAGCAGGTGAGTAATGTACATACGTTATGTATGTCACCCCTGTCTCCCTTGAGGGTAGGCAGAGACTATGAAATGCCAATGGTAGTATCCTAAATTTTATTTGAATATCCGTCTGGTAGATTAATTTAAAACAATAGACACATTTTTTTTCTTTTCTCTTAAAATTCAATATTTTCTACGATAATTTGAAATATCGTATGACGTCACGTGCGTCTACGTGCTATGCAAGCAGCGTGCTACAAAATGTAGCATGCTGCACGCTGCACGTTGTAACGACCTCCCACTCCTAAACTTAACGCCATTTTATAATTTTATCTAAGTAGGTATTGTTAATTTATGTATACGAGAAAGTAAAAAAATACGTGTCTAATATTTTTTCATTATCTAACTGACGGACTAAATAGATTTTTAATTTTGATACCCCGACTGCCTCGTTGGCCGAGTGGTCGCAAATGCGACTGCCGGGCAAGGGGTCTCGGGTTCGATTCACGGGTCGAGCAAAAAATTGCTGGGTTTTTAAAAAATTCTCAGTTGTAGCACGGAGTCTGGAATTGTGCCCGGTGTATGGCAATAGGCTCACCCCCTAATACATGGGACTCATAACATAAATAGTGAAAAGTGGGTGTTATATTGTACCGTGGCATTAAGTGCCGTAATATGCGTCTCTGCCTGCCCCTTCGGGGATAAAAGGCGTGAAGTTATGTTATGTACCCTGGCAATTACCCTATTGTTCTCTTATACGATAAAAAATATACGTGTCCAATATTTTTTCATTACCCAACTGAAGGACTAATTAGATTTTTAATTTTCATACTCCGTCATCATTCCTATTTTTTTTTTAATATATTTAATTTCTTATTCTCCACGAACTCTTGTCCGTGCCCTTGTCATTCTATTACATTTTCTTTTAATTTACAGTCAAAATTAATTGTTACAGAAATCTTACGTGGTACATTAACCACATTTTTTTTTTCTCAAAGAAGTTGTGTCTAATATCTACCTATATATACACAATACATGTTTTACTACATTTACATTAACCTTACTGGATCGGCCCACACGCGCGATGAGCGAGCTGACCTGCTCCAGCAGAAGGCGCCCGTTCACGAGCATGACGTGAGGGCCAGCAATCGGTCCGATCAACCATTTCGTAGGGAACGGAGCGACCCAGCCTACAGCGCCACCGACTGTAGAACATTTAAGAATGCATGACGTCTGCTCACGCAGCAGTAAGCCGATTCCAGTAGTGCCAATGGATTTTGTCAGTCAGATTTTGTATAAGCTTTAACCGAATATATTGTTCTCAGATGCCTGGGCATCCAAGACCTACAATGGCCTGTTCCAGCTAAATCAAGTAAGTTTCAAATCAATGTCACACTCATTTTGATATATTTTTTTTAAACGTTGCCCCACATTAGGGTTTTCTCCTGTGTCGTGGGTACGTTTACAAACATACAAGTTCACATACACATCACACACAGACCCGGAACAACAATTTGTGAATCACACAAAGTGTTGTTCCGTGCGGGAATCGAACCCGCGGCACGTTGCACGTCAGCCGGTTGCCCAGCCACCGCACCAACCGTGCAGTCGAAAGATTTCGATAGTCGTATCACCTGATGGTAAGCAATCAGCGTCGCCCATGGAGTCATGGACACACGAAACACCAGAGGTGTTCGAAGTGCGTTACTAGCCATTTGGGGATTAGGAATTTGAGGATTATTGGGGATGCGGCGATTGGGGAGATTGGGGAGTGGGGTAACCGGGCCTCCGGCAACCTCATTTACACGACGAAACACAACACAAGCGTTGTTTCACGTCGGTTTCTTACTCGGCCGTGGTTACTCCCATCGAGCCGGCCCATTCGTGCCGAAGCATGGCTCTTCCACCCTTTTTTTATGGCATAAGCCGGTAAACGAGCAGACGGATCACCTGATAGTAAGCAATCGGCGTCGCCCATTGACACCTGGAACACCAGAGGCGTTACAAGTGCGTTACCGGCCTTTTGGGGATTAGGAGTTTGAGGATCGTTGGGGATTCAGGGATTGGGGAGATTGGGGAAGGAGAAGGTGATTGTGCCTCCGGTAACCTCACTCACACGACGAAACACAACGAAGCGTTACTTCACGTCGGTTTTCTGCTCGGCCGTGGTATCACTCCGGTCGAGCCGGCCCATTCGTGCCGAAGCATGGCTCTTACACACTTAAAATATTCCTTAGTTAAAATGTATGTGGCGTTGGAAAAATCGACCCTAAATATTATAGTAACTGAGGTTAATTCAGAATACCATGTTGTTATCATTTTTTGATTTTGACTTCGACTTTCAGCTGGCATTGACGTCGAGCATTTCTTACTGCGTATGTGGTATCCTCATTTACCTCGGTAAGTCAATTTCGATTATATAGTCAGGCTTTCCTTTTTCGCGTATTAATTAATAATTATATTTATTAACTAAAAACTGTGGGTTACTCACGTGAATACACCGAGAATAGATCTACTATGCGGCCTACGCAAATGTTCTTTGGGTTGGTATTGTTCGTCGAATCAGTCAGCCTCACCTGTTAATTGAGCTGACTGTAAACCGACACATGCGTACTGCCTTCAGAACGGGTCCGCTCAAACTGTTGTGGTTCTTTCCTCAAAAGGCCACTACAGAAAGAACTTGCACGGTTCTCACACATAATCTATTATAAGTACATATTGTATGGACTTTAAAAGAGACAGACCTCTGAGTTTGTTTCGGCATTTCTTCTCAGCAGCTGTAGCCAAATGCCACTTAGCGCTTGTCTACATGTAGAGTAGAAAACCAAATTATATGGAATTGACGTAAATTTTGACACTTGTCAGTGTCATCCCCATACATTTTGATTTCTACTCTCTCTGTAGACAAGCGCTAAAGTGGAGTTTGGCTAGAGGCCCAGAGTAGTCAGTTAGGAAATGTCGACCTTATCGTTCGCTTGATAAAATTGACGTGTAAATGTGCTGCCTTGTAGCCTATTTGCAGAAATAAATTCACTTGTTTCACTTATGTTTCGAACCACAGAAGGGTTCTTCCTCATCCCGCAGTTTTTAGTTAATTTAGTATGTCTCACGATAGTTATTATAAAATTATATTTGTATTGTAACCTTCGTGAGACATACTAAATTAATAATCATGTTTTCGGCTTACTCACGTAGGTAACTGTTTGACGAGGAACTCGACTAGTTTCAAGCCATACTCGAGGCTCATATTCATAAGTAGCATTCCGCAACAGTCGCCACGTTACGTGAGTAAGCCGAAAACATAATAACTAATGAATAATTAGTTTACTCGCAACTGTTTGAGGGTGCTCGACTAATTTCGAACTACAATCGGGGTGCATTATCATAAATAGCATGTCGGATATTGGTATTTATTTTATTTAACAACTAGTTTCTCTGGCGCGGTCTCACCCGCACTGCTCGGCGTCTATTGGTCGTAGCATGATGTTTTATATACAAGGTGTAGTTTAGAAGCCGTGGCATTTCTCGAGGGCATGTCACAGACGTCATAAAGGTTCAATGTAAGAGAAAATTTCGGGCCAATAGTTAAAAATGCGGCTATAGTAAATCGTTTAAGTTCGACAGTATTTCAGAATAAGCGACAGCAATGTTTCTTATTGGAGTTTTATGGAATTAGGAATAATATCAATTACGTGTTTGAGTTTGTGTGTGTTATGCCGCGTTATACAGCTAGTTATTCGACGGCGGCGTGTACTTCGCAATTACGGATTTCCGTAATTTACAGAAAAATGAAAAATATTTACCTACAATTTTTTTTATTGATTCGGACTCAGAATCGATAGCCGAGTTACCTGCTAGAAAATGACGCGGCTTTAAAACAACACCTTGTATAGCCTATAACCTAGAAATGTTATAGGCATACCTAGAAAGGTAAATGGACTATCCAGCACAAAGATTCGGAGATAAACGCGTTCAAACAAACATAAGTCTTTAGCTTTGTATAATGCGCCTGCCAGACTAAGCTCCTCCTTATAGACCCGAGCGTACGGCCTACTGAAAGAGCCATCAGACCACCACAGATGGGGCCCAACAGGGCCGATACCGATTCGGTGTCGCGGAGAACCTAACGGGTTACCGGGGCTCCGGCTCGACGTGCAGGAGAAGGAACGGGGTGGTTTTTAGTCAGTAAGAGTCTGACACTCCCTCCCGCCTCACCCAGGCGGGAGCAGTCATTCGATGATTTTCCCCCCTTAAAAAAAAGACTGCTCCTCGCGCTGCCGTGATTGGTCGCGATGTTGCCCTTTCTGCCCACACAGTGCTCTACTCGCGCAATTAATCGCGACGCTCCTGTTGCCGGTCCTTGTTGCCTCCTCGTCTTGCCGGTCCTTTGACTCCCGTGCAAAATAGAGAGCAGAGGTCTTAGTACGAATTTGATTTACGTTTAAAGTATTCGAATAGAGTATGCGTTCAGCGCTCTGATTGGCCGGCACTAATGAAGCAACCAATCACAGCGCCGAACGCGTACTCGTTTCGATGTATATTTTTTTCTTTTTAAAAACGTTGCTCCAGACTAGGATTATCTCCTGTGTCGTGGGTGCGTTTACAAACATACAAGTTCACATACACAATGACACTTAGACCCGAAACAACAATTTGTGGATCACACAAAGTGTTGTTCCTTGCGGGAATCGAACCCGCGACACGTTGCACGCCAGCCGGATGTCCAACCACCGCACGATCCGTGCAGTCATATTAAAGAAGGGCTAAATTAAAAGTACCCTTAAAGTGTCAAACACGGCGAGGACACCGGTGACCGCAACCTATTGTTCTTTAAACTGTCAAACACCGCGAGGACACCGGTGACCGCAACCTATTGTTCTATAATTGTGTCTATAATGGCGGTACTCAACAAGTTAAACTGTGAAACACCGCGAGGACACCGGTGACCGCAACCTATTGTTCTATAATTGTGTCTATAATGACGGTACTCAACGAGTTAAACTGTCAAACACCGCGAGAACACCGGTGACCGCAACCTATTGTTCTTTAATTGTGTCTATAATGACGGTACTCAACGAGTTAAACTGTCAAACACCGCGAGGACACCGGTGACCGCAACCTATTGTTCTTTAATTGTGTCTATAATGACGGTACTCAACGAGTTAAACTGTCAAACACCGCGAGGACACCGGTGACCGCAACCTATTGTTCTTTAATTGTGTCTATAATGACGGTACTCAACGAGTTAAACTGTCAAACACCGCGAGGACACCGGTGACCGCAACCTATTGTTCTTTAATTGTGTCTATAATGACGGTACTCAACGAGTTAAACTGTCAAACACCGCGAGGACACCGGTGACCGCAACCTATTGTTCTTTAATTGTGTCTATAATGACGGTACTCAACGAGTTAAACTGTCAAACACCGCGAGGACACCGGTGACCGCAACCTATTGTTCTTTAATTGTGTCTATAATGACGGTACTCAACGAGTTAAACTGTCAAACACCGCGAGGACACCGGTGACCGCAACCTATTGTTCTTTAATTGTGTCTATAATGACGGTACTCGACGAGTTAAACTGTCAAACACCGCGAGGACACCGGTGACCGCAACCTATTGTTCTTTAATTGTGTCTATAATGACGGTACTCAACGAGTTAAACTGTCAAACACCGCGAGGACACCGGTGACCGCAACCTATTGTTCTTTAATTGTGTCTATAATGACGGTACTCAACGAGTTAAACTGTCAAACACCGCGAGGACACCGGTGACCGCAACCTATTGTTCTTTAATTGTGTCTATAATGACGGTACTCAACGAGTTAAACTGTCAAACACCGCGAGGACACCGGTGACCGCAACCTATTGTTCTTTAATTGTGTCTATAATGACGGTACTCAAAGAGTTAAACTGTCAAACACCGCGAGGACTCAGGTGACCGCAACCTATTGTTCTTTAATTGTGTCTATAATGACGGTACTCAACGAGTTAAACTGTCAAACACCGCGAGGACACCGGTGACCGCAACCTATTGTTCTTTAATTGTGTCTATAATGACGGTACTCGACGAGTTAAACGTAAAAAAAACTAGTACTTAGCTTCAGTGGGCAGGACGAGGAGCATGACATGTGGCATGACGAGTAATGTTGCCACACTAGGTCTCTGCCCCCTTTCCTCGATACTTCCAATAATACTCATCGAGTGTGTGGCAGGCGCATAATAAGTATTAGATTCTGGTTGGTCGAGTAGTCGCTATGCTACCGAGCGAGGGATCTCGGGTTCGATTCCCGGTCGGTGTTACATTGTATATGTGTCATTCTGTCTATACCCTAAATGCGAAATAAAAGGCATGGTGTATTAACGGAAGGCTCCCGAATAACGCCGACAGGTGATGGTAAAAAACTAGTTATATTTTCATTAAAATAAAATATAAAATTTTTATTTTATGTAATTATAGTTGTAATCAACTGCTCAAGGCTGATGTTGTATGAATAACACGACAACAGAAAATTGGGTACTTTCCCTTAATCAAAAATACTTATTACTAGCTACTTCCGCGCGGTTTCACACGCTCTGCTCAGCTCCTATTGGTCTTCCTATCTCCGATAAATGCGCTATCCAACACAAAAAGAATTATTCAAATCAGACTTGTAGTTACGGAGATTAGCGCGTTCAAACAAACAAACAAAAAAAGAAACTCTTCCGCTTTATATAATAGTATAAGATAAGATTTGTTAAAGTTTTGGTAGTTAGTTCGGGATTTTTTGAACCAAAACCAGAAATATCTCAGAAAGTAGCCACTTTCGGACCAGAGACCTCAGGGCTTTTCTTTTTTTTTTTAAATGTTGCCCCACATTAGGATTTTCTCATGTGCCGTGGGTGCGTTTACAAACATACAATTCAAGTTCACATACACAATGACACCCAGACCCGGAACAACAATTTGTGGATCACACAAAGTGTTGTTCCGTGCGGGAATCGAACCCGCGACACGTGGCACGGCTTACTGAACCCTATCATGAAATGCTGTCAGCTGCGGCGTCGGTAGCGGATTGAATAGCGCTGATCACTTTAAAAGTCGACGGTTTTCTTTCTTCAAAAGATTATGCTAACTGTTAAGTAGATGAGTGTCCCACCAGGAGTCAACGGCAAAAAAAATATACTTTATTAGATGTTTGGACGGCTACCACTACTTAACCCACCATTGGTACCACAGCTGACACTCATGAAGCTTCATGACACAACTCCTAGAAGCATCCCACAAGTTACCGACTGAGAGAAAATAGGTAATAAAAATTAGTGCCTGGCAATATGAATATATTGTGGTGTGATATGGTTTTCTTGTGCCCGGAGTACAATGGCGCGCAATTTGAAGTTAGAAATTGTGACAAAACTATGAATAATTTGAATAAAAAACCGAAGTAAAATGTTTGACTCCAGCTCCTTTCAACGCTCATTACTCAGTCCAGACTGAGATTTCCAGATATAAGCCCATAGACAATTTCGTTTGTAATGTCATTCTAGATAATATTTTCCATAAATCATCGACTGCCGCCAGAAAAAAGAAAGGCACCAATTTTAATCAATGCCCTTTGTATTGTAACTTTTGTGAGACGCGGCGACTGTCGCGCTGCTACTCAGGAGTGCCAGTAGCAGCGCGACAGTCGCCGCGTCGCGGTTCGCGAAATGCTGCTCATGAATATGAGCCTCTAGCATGGCTTGAAACTAGTCGAGTTCCTCGTCAAATTATTACGTGAGGAAACGTAAGCCCAAAACATAATAATTTATAGAAAATTGTCGTTTTTGACAGTTCGAAAAAAGTATTGATTTTGACTAGTTGGCAAGTACCTAGGAAGTACCCAATTATTAAAAATGTCTTAAATATTTTTTGTCAGCGTTTTTCGGGACCGTTGCGTTTAGACCCCGTATTAATATTTATGGTGTTAAATGCTTGTTTTTGCTTTGTGATGGACCTATTTAGTTGCATGACCTTAGATAGGGGGTGGGGGTTTGATTCCAGCTTCAGAATTCTTCCTTCTAAGAATTTCGATAAACGAATACGAAGAGAATTGAACCTTGTTCGGTAGTCCCATTTTTATATAATAAAAGTACCTATTATTTAGTCTTTGATATTGAGATTCTCAGCATGTAGTTGTTATGTATGGTTAAACTAATAGATACTGGCTCTGCTTACCCCCCGGGAGTAGCAGGCGTGATTTTATATTGTACTCAAAACTTATAGTTGATGACATGACCAATAACGACAACAGCGCCCTCTAGCCATCGCAAAACGCGGTCTAACCCTCACTTCTTAGTATTACTTCTTATAATTTTTAATATTATATTAATACTAACTTCTGCCAGCGGCTTCGCCCGCGTTCCCGTAGAATAAAAATTGCCTATGTGTTATTTCAGGCCACAATCTACCTGGGTTTCAAATTATAATAAAATCGTAGAAAAGTCAAAACTTTACGTTGAATATATTTTTAAAATAATACTCGGATTGTGATCTACAATGTCGATCGACCGGGATTGGATTCAAGAGTAAGCCCCCAGGTCAACATATAGGCTACTTATTATCACGCTATCACGGGCGGGCTGTGAATCACGATTTCACGCGGATGAAGTCGGGCAACAGCTAGTATTTAATATAGAAAGCTTAAGATTTTGTTTGTTTGAAAGTACCTCCTCTTCAGCTTTCAGTCATGTCAAAACAACAGAAAATTGAGACAGAAATATATTATGGCCTGTTTTTGCTTTGGGGAAAATCATCCAATGGCTTCTCCCCCCTTGGATTGACGAGATGGAGTGTCAAACTCTTATTAACTAAAAACCACCCCGTTCCTACTCCTGCTCTTCGAGCCGGAGCCCCGGTAACCCGTTAGGCCTTCCGCGGCTCCGTATCGGGGATATATTATGGCCTGGAAATACGTATAGGCTACTTTAATGTAATCGAAGCCGTTGGCAGAAACTAATAGAAGTTATATATTAACAAGTTGTATATATTATATTATTATTATTACATTTTCATGCTTCTGATATAAAGAAGAGATATAATTCTGGCCAATCTCGCTGAACAAAGCTACCAACGGCTGCAGTTGTAAGTTTGTTTATATAACGTATACTTCTGAACTGTGGAAACTCATTATCCGATACTTAGATATACGGGATATTAGGGATCGGATATCCGATACTAAACTAATTGAGACAACGTAATTTTAACAAATTGTAATCCGGATAACATTATGTAATGTAATAATTACCGAAGCTGAAAATCACCCTGATATTAGTGATTGTACATACAGGCAAATATAAAAGAATTCTTATTTTTTTTCGACTTTTACTCATTTGCTATAGAAGTTTTGGTCAATTTCTACGTGTACTGAGGGCCAAGCACGAATAACTATCGCATTCGTATCGTAACAGTATCGAGCGAGTAAAGCTTTCTGATTGGTTGGTTCACTTGAGCCGGCCAATCAGAGCGCCGAACGCGCTCGATACTATTACGTTACGAATGCGATAGTTATTCGTGCTTGGCACTCTGAAAATAATCGAATGATAAAAAATATGCATTGTTTTGTGCAGAACTGATCTCACCAAAATAGACATCGGTTCAAACATGTCGCGTAAGATTTTATTCCTCTTAGCAGTTCGAATAATGATAACCGGATATCCGAACTATGCGTATCGGATACCCGAACCATGTGTATCGGATATCCGGATCACGTATATCGGATAATAGTTTCCACGGCTCAAATATAATTTTGGTATATAGGTAATAATTGAAAGTATTTCCGTATTATAAATATCTAAACATAACATCACGCCTTGTTATTCCCTGGGGCTGGCAGAGATTTTTTTTTTCAATTAGTCCAGTATAGAGCAATTTTGGACTTCAAACAAAATAACAAGTGTTAGTATGTCGGTCAGTCTTCTAGTGGAGCTATTTGCTCGTTCCAAGGTGTAGATTCTTATGGAGAAGAACGAGCATGAAATCCATAGGATACTCTTTTCTAATCGAATTCTGGGTTATATTATAAAGTTTGTTCCTTCTCTAGTTATTTAAATCGCGGAATTTTCTATTCCAATTTGTGCTTTATATTTAAAACACGACTACCGAGTAAAACGTATCCAGTTCTATTCTCGTTCGAAATCTATATCGATTTTTTTTTTTGAGAATCCTGAGGCTTTTTGTGTTATAACTTTACTGAGGCATACTAAATTAACTATTATGCTTTCCGGCTTACTCACGTAACTGTTTGACTGGAGCTCGACTAGTTTCGAGCTATGTTAGAGGCTCAAACAAAAATATTAATTTTGTCTATTTTTTTACGACTTTCTCGTTGGCCGAGTGGTCGCAAGTGCGACTGCCGGGCAAGGGGTTCTCGGGTCGGGCAACGTATTACTGGGTTTTAAAAAATTCTCAGTGGTAGCACGGAGTTTGGAATTGAGCCCGGTATATGGCAATAGGCTCACACCCTACTACATGGGACTCATAACATAAATAGCGAAAAGTGGGTGTTACATTGTACAGTGGTATTAACCTACCCCTTCGGGGATAAAAGGCGTGATGTTATGTTACGTCTATTTTTTTTTGTTTTCGACATTATTAGTAATAGCGCAAATTCTAGAACTTTTGGCAATAGACTCGAGTCGACCCCTGTTGCATATAGACTAATTGCGACTTGCATTAAATATGTAGACCTCTACTCAACCCAACGAGGAATGAAAAGCGTGATGTTCTATAACGTTTCATTTATAACCTATATGCTATATATGTATATGTCCGTTTATTCAATAAAATAACTTTTATATCGTTTGTTATAATAATAAGTACAATCGTCTAATTCGAATTATGAAACACCCATCATAAACTTTTTTACATTAATATACTCTTGGGAGCTAATAAACGGAGCCACTAGTAAACGAACCCTCATATAAAACTAATAAAACAATATTTCTTTTACAACAAAACGCTCTCATTGTAAAGGTAACTAAATTGACTTTTGTACGATATACATTACCAATTAATAAAATACTTGTATCAGAATTATCCAAGCAAGACACTAGCAAACACACCTGAGGCCTTAGTACGAGTTTCATTTACGTATAAAGTAACCGTATCGAGTACGCGTTCGGCGCTCTGATTGGTTGGTACTTTGGCGCCGGCCAATCAGAGTGCCGAACGCGTACTCGTTTCGAATACTTTAAAAGTAAATGAAACTCGTACTAAGGCCTCTGACAAACTTCGTACCTACTCTAATTTTTTTTATCTCATCTTTTGATTTGAACCTTCCCTGTACTACCAAGAATATTTCAAGACGAAAATTAGCCAAATCGGTTCAGCCGTTATCGAATTTTAACGAGACTAACGAACGGAAATTCATTTTTATTTATATAGATAGATAGATGAAAAGGAAAAACGCTAGCTGATCCGTTTCGTTGCTCTCAAGTGTAAAGATCTAAGTATTTCACTTATAATAATTGGTCTTATCTCTCATACGCACTAGAGGTTGTCCTCGTGGCCCTTGCCACAGCGGTTAGCCGCTTTTTCAATTTCAATTGCAACAGCTATACAACCGCTGAACTGCCTAAGCTTTTCACCTTCTCATTTTTATTTCGGATCCAAGACAGTTCATATTCATGTCCCTGAGACGTTGGACTTTAGTGTTCCGGTGTTTGCATAGTTGTATCTACTGTAGATCCTGGTGTACAGGAGTTGCAGCGGTTTCTGGCGGTTGTGGCGGGAGCGGTCAACCAGTATTGTGTATGAGGGCTTAATTATTGACCATTTCAAGTGTTTTTTTTGTCAACGTGGGGCATCATTTGAGTTGGTCGATTGTATTATTCGGTTGGTGTTTCGTAATGGGTTGGTGGTCGAGAATGCTGGTGGGGGATTGTAGCGTAGTGGTTTTTACTAAAAATGATTGCATGGGGGGCAAAGTTAAGCGTCCACAGGCCCGCTTCCGTACTGTGTAAAAAATGGTCATCGGCAAACCGATTGCCGACGCGAGTATCGGGAATCGGTTTGCCGATGCTACTTTGACAAAAACGCGTGTTGGCAGGATGGTCGTCAAAAGCAAATGGCTGATCCGTATGCCGTATGACGTCATTCGTACTCCACATATAGGCATTACCGATGAACAATCCGAACGATGCGTACTGTTACGCTGTTGTATGAGTTTTTATACAAGGCAAACTAAAAGACGTTACGTGGGATGCGTCTAGTGCGTCCGATGCGTGCGATGCGGGGCTGTGGACGATTACCTCAATGGTCACTCTATTGTAGTAACCGTTTTCGACAAACGCTCTTAACATTTATAATACGAAGAAATTTAGGTGACACTTAACGTCGTTACAAAACCTAGGTTCGTGGTGCCACCTCGCTGGCCGAATAAGGCACAACTTGAGAAACGAGCTAAGAGGCTAGAAGAGAAGCGTAAAACAGAAGCTTCTAGCTCCAAAGAAGGCGCCACCAAAGAAGAGAGGCCGTACGAGGATGGTTTCCCGAAAGACCTTGATGATGGTCTCTCCAAGGAGTGCAAGGGACCACTGTTCACTTTCTCCGCTGCTATTTGGAGGGATTTACAGAAGACTTGCGAGAATTTGACCACGCTGTTCTTAGAGTATTGTAACATCGATTATCGGACGGTGAGTGTTTTTTTATAATTATTTACATATACTTATTTAAAATTCTCTTCAAATTGCGTTTTTAAATAAAACTTACAAAATCCTTACTAATATTATAAATGGGAAAGTGAGTTTGTTGTTCCGCTTTCACGCCATAACTACTAAACCGATTGCTTTGAATTTTTGAAGATGTGTAATTAGAAGTCCGGTTTAAATAATAGGGTACTTTTTATCCCGGAAAAAATTGATTCCCGAGGGAAAACAAAAGTATTGGTATAGATGGCGCGGTGTGTATTGGTATATGTCACATTGGCTTTTTATCCTTTTGTGACGCAAACGAAGCCGCGGGTATAAGCTAGTAAAATATAAAAAACAGGAGCAGACTAGTAGCAGGAGCACGATTCAAGCTACCAGTGGTTAGGGTTCCAGAGACAGAAACCTCCCGATACGTGCCGTTTCTAGGAGATCTGCCTTCTGTATCAGGCCCTTGATCCATCCACCTAACATCAGCCTCCTGAGTGGATGTCATCTGTTTTAGGGATTAACTGCTGACTATCGGCACAATGATAGCCGAATCCACATTCCACATATCGACAACCTCGTGAGCTCTAGATATTTTATTTGTTTATCGTTCTCAGCTTTCACGATGTTCTCGTCATGGGGAATGGTGACATCGATTATCATCGAGCGGCGCACTTCAATACATAGTATAAAACAAAGTCGCTTTCGCTGTATGTCCGTATGTATGCTTAGATCTTTAAAACTACGCAACGGATTTTGATGCGGTTTTTTTTAATAGATAGAGTGATTCTTAAGGATAATACATGCATATTGCACCCGTGCGAAGCCGGGGCGGGTCGCTAGTGTGTTTATAATAGGGTAGTTGCCGGGGAATGAAAATTAAAAATCTAATTAGTAGATAATGAAACAATATTATACACGTATATTTTTATTTTGTCGTATAAAGTTACAATACTTAGATAAAATGGAGTACAGTTTAGGAGTGGGAGGTCGTTACGTCACTAATTGCTACAAAATGTAGCGCATAGTGACGTCACACGATATTTCAGATTATTACATCGTCGAAAGTATTTAATTTTGTGGGAAATGAAAAAATACGTGTCTAATGTTTTAAATTAATCCACCAGCCGGACATTAATTTCAAATTTAGGCAACTACTTTATAATTATTATTAAACCAGCTACTTTTACTTATTGCTCGGCTCTCGTTTTACTCGGATCAGCAGAAATTGATTGTAGCGCGATGTTGCCTATATATCCTTCCTCGATAAATGGATAATCCATGAGTGAATAGGAACGCAACTAAAATATATATTTATTGTCTATAGCGCCACTATTGTTCATTCCGTTTGTCTCTGTCTTTTGTAAAACTCAGGTTATCGTGTTTCTAAATAAAACTTCTAATAGTTAAAAATACGCTTTAATTATTTATCACAACCACGATTCGTATTCCTTTAATAGGCATGGCGACTATTTTTTAAATTTTTTGTCCGTCTTTTAGATATTTTAAAAATCTTCGATACGTATTTTTTCTTTTTTCTCGTATCCAAAAAAACATGTAGATATTTTGAGTTAAAATGACGCGTGACGTCACAATTAGGTACGATTTCTCCGTAAGTATGACGTCAACACCCCCCACTCCCTAACTTTAATGCGGAATAACTACGTATTCTTCTGTTAATTTGATAAAACAAAAAATACGTGTCTGATATTTTCGTGCGATCTTAATGACGGACTAATTACTTTTTTGATTTTTTTACCCTGTCGACACGCCTATTATCGAACAAAAAGATTTTTTTGGAAATATAAGCCCAGGTTTCCTAACGATGTTTTCCTTCACCGTTTGTCAGTGGTGTATAAATAATCTTAGAAAGTACATATAACTCGGAAAAAGTCACATTGGTACCTGCCGTTCGTGGTCTGAATCAAATCCGCACTCTCATGCAGAAGCGGGCGTCTTATATGTCTGGGCCACAACGATACTATAAGTTATGGATTATCAACAGTGTCGTGGTGGCCCGGAGGTTTAAGACGCCCGCTTCTCATGCATGAGGGTGCTAGTCCGAAACCTACCAACGACAAGTACCAATGTGACTTTTTCCGAGGTATATGTACTTTCTAAGATTATTTAGACACCATTCTAAGTCATTCTGTGAAGGAAAACATCGTAAGGAAACCTGGGCTTATAATATCTGATTATAAGTCTGTAATCGCCAACGACCAAGCGTGGTGAGTAATGCTGTAACCTTCTCTGTGTGAGAAGAGGCATTGCTCAGCAGTGGGAAATTATGGATGGTCCCTTATAATGTGTGTATTTTCGCAGACGAATGTCCGGCTATTCCCCAAAAAGCTGAAGAAGTTGTCTATGCGCGGCACTCGATGCTTCAACTTACCTCTAAATGTGTCGTACCTGACTAAAATCCATGAAGTCCTGCCTAATCTAGAGGTTAGTGAGTCTTTTTTATTAAGTGAAGCCCGCCACAACCTTGCAAATCCACTGCAACTCCTGTAGGCCAGGATCTACTATAGATACAAGATGTTTTTTAGTATTTTTTTTAAGGGGGAAAATCATCGAATAACTGCTCCCGCCTGGGTGAGGCGGGAGGGAGTGTCAGACTCTTACTGACTAAAAACCACCCCGGTCCTTCTCCTGCACGTCGAGCCGGAGCCCCGGTTACCCGTTAGGTTCTCCGCGACTTTTTTATGGTATAAGCCGGTAAACGAACCGAGAACGGGGATCATCTGATGGTAAGCAATCGGTGCCGCCTATAGACACCTGAAATACCAGACGCGTTACAAGTGCGTTACCGGTCTTTTGGAAATTGGGAATTTTAGGATTTTGGAGGATTCGGGGATTGGGGAGACTGGGGAGGGGGGGCTATGGGCATCCGATAACCTCACTCACACAAAGAAATAGTGTGGTTTCACGTCGGTTTTCTGCTCGACCGTGGTATCACTCCAGTCGAGATGGTCCATTGGAACACCAGAGGCGTTACAAGTGCGTTACCGGCCTTTTGGGATTAGCGATTTAAGGATTGCTGGGGATTCAGGGATTGGGAAAGAGGGGGGGGGGGGAATTGGCCCACCGATATTCTTTCTTTCATGGACTGATGATGATGTTGATGTATGTGCAGTATCTAGACGTGTCGGAGTGCGATTGGTTCGAGCCCGCCTCGCTGATGACTATAAGCAAGCTCGCCAACCTGACCGAGGTCTACATGAGGGACTGCAGACGCTTGACCGAGTGTGTAGCCTACGCTTCGCTCTCGACAAGATACGGTTTCCGAAAGTTACGGGTGAGTCTACATTTTTTGTTATTTACAGGCTCGGTTTCAACCGTTCTGTGCGGCTCGAGGCTCGGCTTCGAGGGTGCTCGACTAATTTAAATCAAAGTCAAAGTCAAAATAATTTATTTCAATTAGACCACGAAGGCAATTTTGAACGTCCACAATGATAATTTAGAAGCGAAGTTAGTTGCTCATTCCAAGGTGTAGATTCCTATGGAGAAGAACGAGCAAGAAACTCCATAGGTTACTCTTTTTCAATCGGGCTTACAATACAATTCTCTAGTTACATAGTTTTATTGGTTCGATTGTGTGAGAACAATGCAACACCTAAATGCAGTCAAAGAGATTGAAAAAGTTGCCTCGTTGACCGAGTGGTCGCAAGTGCGACTACCGGGCACGGGGTCTCGGGTTCGATTCCCCGGGGAAAGTATTACTGGGTTTTAAAAAATTCTCAGTAGTATCACGGAGTCTGGAATTGTGCTCGGTATATGACAATGGGCCCACCCCTTACATGGGACTCATAACATAAATAGTGAAAAGTGGGTGTTACTTCTGTGTGCACCGCTGCCTACCCCTTCGGGGATAAAAGGCGTGATGTTATGTTATTGAAAAAGGATTTCAAACTACAATCGGGGTTCATTATCATAGCACGCCGGATATTGATCTCTATTTTATTTAACAATTAGTTACTCCGGCGCGGTCTCACGCGCTCTGCTCGCCTCCTATTGATCGTAGCGTGATGTTTTATCCTATAGCCTTCCTCGATGAATGGACTATCCAACACAAAAATATTTTTTCAAATCGGACTAGTAGTTCCTAAGATTGGCGCGGAAGTTTCGGTAAGCACCTGCGTCAGGCGGTAGGTGAGGACGCCGTAGCGTCTCTCAAGCCACTCCGCAAAGAAGGGACTTACCGCTGCAATGACAGCGAGCCCAGCCCTCGGTTCATCCCGCCACGCACTAATCTGGCGCGGCAGCGGAGTTTCGCCCCGGCCGCGTGCCTCCGCGCGCAAACAAAACACGCGCGCGAGCACCTTCGCTACAACTTATTTACATAACATAACATCACGCCCTTTTATCCCCGAAGGGGTAGGCAGAGGTGCAGATTTCGGCACTTAATGCCACTGTACAAT